CGCCCGAAATTGTGATTCACCTGATGAAAATGGCGGCGAACGAAGAAGAACTGACGAAGTACACCTTCGACAGCGAAGCACCGTCAGCGGAGGATTTTTCAGAAGACCAAAGAAATTTTCTAACACTCTCCACAGAATTGTTTTTCTACTGTTCAGCTGAGACAAAAAGGAACCTCTTTCCTACATTTCTTTCCTCTTTCAAAGGAGTTCTTTTAATTAATGCTGGCCAGCTTAATGATCTTGTGAAAGAAAAGTTAGTTAAAACTACCATAAACGTAAATTACGTTTTTTTCACTGATGGCAAAAAGTATACAGAGCAAGACTTTAAAAACTTAACAATTTTAACTGAACAATTAAACGCTTTCATTGTAAGTTGTTCAGGAGAACAGAAGGCATCAGAATTTTTAAGCAACTTTACATGGCGTCAAATTTATGAATTTTTCCTAAAGAAAGAAGAAAACAACACTCACCTGTATTTTACACGAGTTAGTACAGCTGGATCCGGTTGTCTTGCTCATGATATAAAGGCGCTAATAAGTAAACAAGAGACAACAACAAAGAAGACAAACATGAATGGTGATGAGTCAAGTGAAGAGAGCAGCAGCAGCTGTTTAAAGCGTCATGGTCTGTCCAGGGTTCGGTGGATTGTAGTTTGGGATGTGAACAGGTCAGAAGTGGAACAGCTGATTGAGATGATGCCGTTTATCACCGCTCCACACATGATATGCGTTGAGTGTAAACGCGGTGAAGTGTTCGATGCTGAGGTAACAGAGTCTCTGATGAGGAGGATCCAAACAACACACAAACTGAAGCACTTAACACTCCATCATATCAATGTTACATCATCACCTGCTGTGGAGTTTATCGACAGTTTATTTAAAAAAGCTCCAAACTTGAAGTGGCTCGACATGTCATACAATCCTCTTCCAGGTGCAGGAGTAGACAGCTTGATAAAACATCTCAGCTGCGCTCCTCACCTGCTGGGACTGGGGCTTGAAGAAGTGAAGATGACTCCACAGCAGGTGAAGGATCTGACATCAGCTGTACAGCAGCACGGCAACATCACTGAACTGTGGTCAGAATACCACGTAAGTCTTCCAGTTTTATCGCAATTTGTTTCTTTATTCTTTGTTTACAGTTTATTTCTACTCAGCTCTTGCCTTTCGCCATTTTCCTTTCTTTGTCATTTTTATACTCGACAAAACACGAGATTTACTTTTTGAAACAATCGCAAACTTTAGCAGATTCAAAGTATCGTTTTAAATTCATTCCTTTCAATTGATTAAACTGAATTCCAAATAATGTTGTAACCGAGAACAAGTAAATTAAACTGATGGTGTTTTCACTGTGCAAAATAATGGATCAGCGAGCAGATATGAAATTTCTCTTCGAGCCTGGTTTAACTCGATGTGAGCTTACTTATAACAAACACTGTGCAACATAACAGAACACAAAAATTCCACAATATTATAAATTTCAGAATCAATTTTAATTCATTACTTTTTATAAAATGATTATGAATAACAAGCATAAATTCAAAATATGTTCAGTTCATGTTCAATGCAAACAAATAATTTGCAAAGTAGAGAAAGAAAGGTTAACTTACAGTTTCACTTTTATCGCTAAGACTTCCTAAAATCAGTCAAACTCAAGAAAAGTTTGTTTGAGAGTCCAGAAAACGAAGAAGTCTTTTAAGAGGTGTCCTTTTCTTTGAGTGTCCTTTCATAAATGACCTCGATCGCTCAGGAGCGTAGATTTTTTTAGATAACTTTTCTCAAAACAGACAATTCCTCAGGGACACTTTTGTTCAAATTTAACGCCGTACATTTTATCGTAGATAAAAGCACTTCTCTATGGTATCAACTGTCAAATTTTGTCGGCGACATGTTTTTCCAGCTTGATGACGTTAGCTAATCCTGCGTCGCTTTGTTTCTTCAATTAATAAGTTTTTTTTCTTGCTAGCCTCCACAAATCCTTTAACAAGTTCTGCAAATTTCAGAGTGAATAAGTCGAATCTTTCCCTCACTCACGTTTTTACGTTGTTTTCTAATTTTTTTTTCAATTCCCGTCCATCTTGAGCATTTTTGCGTTGAATTTTTTCGTTGAAGAACAAACTCAACTAAAGTGAACAACAAACTACAAAATCAACAAACTGTCATTCAAAGTGGCGTGAGATAAGGCTAGTGACGTGGTAACAGCTGATTGGTTAAAGTTAAGCACATGAAATATTCCTGTCAGTCACGATATGCCACGTGGTAGCATTTTCCCGCCTTTTGTTTGCGTGTAGCGCCAGCATTCCCGCCTTCCCATTTATTTTTCGGTTCGCACCTTTGACCCTGCATTAGAAAAAGGGAACTACATTCTGTTCAAAGAGGGTATTTCTAAAATACCGTTCGCCACCAAAAATTACTTTGTCTAACTGATTGCTCTTGCTTTTCTTGTTTCTAATTAAATCATCATGGATGAAAAAAAAAAAAAAAACAGAAATATTAGGTTCGGCAGAGAAAATTGAAGGTCAATCATTATAAAAAACTGTCTGTCCCCTTTTTAAACTTTTGGGAGTCCACATGATCGTGTGTTTCAGACCTTTTTCCCTCCGGTGATTGAAAAGAAACAACAACACTTGGAGTTTACACTGAATGTAAAGCTAGCCAGGGCATTTATTCCACATATGTACCGTTACCACCCTCCCCTCCCCCACCTATTTTGAACCCTCTCTCCAGTGATCTGAAAGAGTTTTTCATTCTATTATAATTATTAGAGAGTGACTCTTTCTTTTTTTTTGTAATTTGGTTAAGTTTCCGCAGCGACCGCTTGACAAAGAGCTGGCGTAGTCTGAACGTGCTGATAATAGCGTTTTCACCTTTATATTGTTTCTCGTTTCTTCTGGTCACGTTTTAAATAAAAGAAAACTAATTTTACGCCTGAAAACCTTACATGCAATGTTTGTTGTATGGTCGACATTTCATGTTTCAGGAGCTCAGTGGCGATCCCAAGCCTGAACACGAGTGGCCATCAGAGGACTATTGGAAACGTTGGTACCCTCACCTCTTTCCTGATTCTTCATCTGGATTAGAGGACGATCTGGAGCAGGTGGGTCATAGAAATAAGGTCAAAGGAAGGCATAGTTTTGACATGGGTTTTGTTGTTGAAATACATTTCAGTTCACTCCTTGTAGTTTTGATCAATGCTTTATATAAGATTTACTTAACAAAGGTTATTCTTCAACTTTCACTGATTGCACGTGAAGGTCTGTTGTTCTGTTCCTTGATCACTGGACATGTGAATTGCATTCAAAGTAACCGGCACCGTCGTTTTGCTTATCAGCGTCGCGGGTCGTCAGTCCCGATGTCTCTTCCGACGTGTTTTACCAGATTAAAAACTTCTCATTTGGTTTAAATTTTCTTCGTGAGGTGCGCGATTATCCCAACTCGGTCACTACGTTTTATGTAGGAGAACTCTCCCAAAGTGGAATTCTTAAGAAAAATATTCAAGTTTAAAAATATTAAGAGAGACTCGTCGTCGTATGTTCACGTTGTCGATAAATCGGATAATTAGGCAATTTACATCGTAGTCGTGCAGTGACGGCAAAGAAATGTACAAAAAAGCGTGACGCACGTGCAGAGTTGTTGTTTTGCTAATCTTTACCAATGTTGCTTTTTGACGTTCTCGTTGCCGTCGCCCTAGTGGCATCTTAAACTCCTCAATTAAAGCAAAACGCTACGGCGGACTCTACCGCGGCAACCGGAAGTAATTTTGTCAAAATTATGGGTTTTTGCGAAGCCATAGCGGCAAATCCTTCTACATCTAAAGCAGTAGTCGGGCATAGTATAATAGACTTACTGCATATCTATTTTCCTATCACGAGAAACTTAAGTTATGGGAACAAACTGCGAATGCAAGGACGATAGACATGCCGAGTAATGAGGGTATGCGACGTCATCTGACACTAGGGGAGGTGGGAGAGGCGAAACTTCGAGGTCACTTCCACTGAAATCAGTTGAACTGGCTAGGACGCGGGAAAATTCAAAGCGAGACCCGCAATGTATCATGCCACTAGCGCGCAAACTCGACATGACGGAAATTAAAGGAGTTTCTTGTTTCCCGCGTTTCGGGATAATTATGTATGCAGTGAGAATAGTTAAATTTTGACTACTCATTTAAGTTGTTATGATATAGGAAAAAACACGACACCGGAGATTCGCTGAAAAAAGCATAAAATAATATTGAGGGTTGATTTGAGAAAGGCCCTATTTAGCCGATCATAAAAGAGGAGTCACGGCCGAGCGGAAAGTGCTCCACACTCAGTCCCGGGCTTGGCGCTCGACCTTGTCTTCTTCCTTAGCGCTCGGCTAAATAGGGAGCTTTTAAGAAACGGTCCAGATAAGAACGATAGCAACAACGGCAACGAACATGTTGGAATGCAAAAAAGGTGCTAACTTTTCTATTGTCTGTACTTACTTCTGACTGGCTTAAACAGCAAAAGTTAACAAAACTTCATAAAGCTGTACATATATTCATCCCTACTTTCCAACCATCTTCCATATAACAAAATCTGGTCTCAGTTTGAATAACAAAGAAATCCTATGTAGGGAACATGTAAAATTGTAAACTTTTCTTGGCTATTGTTTTCAACTCTTGTGATTGGTCAAAATCTTTTAACACAAAAAACACCCTTCCAAAGTGGAGTGTAAATGCCTTTTATTCCGTAAACGGCCTTCATGTAGGTTTATGCATTCTCTGTGTAAAAATGAGAACATCCCTACGTGGGGAAAGCACCGTTGCCGCATAACAAAAGAAATTGCTATCCACCTTACCCGGATCATTACTTAAAAAGCAACGACGACGGCGACGTCAAGAGAATGGCAATCAAACCAACCACTTTGCAAGTGCATCACGCTTTTTTGTACATTTTACATTTGAAGAAACAATTATTGCTTGACAATCGTATGAGTTTATCAGCTTGTTTTCTTTCTTTTCTGCTCTCACGCCCACAGGCTGCCGTAGCGTTGCAGGGGAACACTCGCCCCAGTACTCATGATGCACCGCTTCCTGTTTACGGTCAAGAAACCGTAAGACCAGTTCCATTGCCTCACTATCGTGCTGGTAAGGTTTCCTTTTCTTGTCCACCCCTGTTAAAACTACAAAAGACAATACGACAATGTACAAGGACTTTCAGGGCTTGAACTTCTTATTTTTCCTGTCCGAAAAAAGGCAAATCCCAGTTCCTTTTTTTGCCTTCCAGGGCCGAGTTGTTCAAAGCTGGGTTAAGATAACCCAGGGTTAGTGCGAGATTTAAATTCAGATATGAAAGCCTTAAAATCATTTCAGTTTTAATTCTTTTTGTCGACTAGTTGCTTATTGAAAACTTTAAAAATAACAGAGAAAATTATCCGAGAAAATGCTTTTAAACACAAGAAAAAGAAACCCGGGTTAAATTTAACCTAGGGTTAAGCGCTAATCGGCCTTCGAACAACTGGGCCCTGGGCATTATTACTGTAGAATTTTTGCGTTTTTGTGGACCCAGACGAGAGAAGAAGGATTTATTTCATGGTCAAAAGAGAATTTTTTCTTGCGGGACAACGGCGGGAAATCACGAGCGGGCAAGATGTGGCAATCTTTCCCGCTCGCGAATTCAGTCATATTATAGAAAGCCTTAAAATAAAAACTGAGCCAGACATCGAACTCATCATAAACTTAACTCACTAAGTGAAAAGTTCGACGTTTGGCCCAGGCCTTAGAAAGTCATGAACGTACAATTAAACCCTTTGCTTTTTCATAGTGTCATTAGTAGTAGTTATCTTGGTATCATACTTTATCTTTGTAGCTATTTAGTTATTACCAAGTTGTGAGCGTAACACGAATCCTTCCCGTTTTCGTTTTGTACATCTAGTCGGCGAGCGATCTCTGCGGATGGAAGAGTCAACAAGAAAGCGTAAAGCACAAGAGACGACTGAAGGTACGCTAAAAGTTATTAGACTCATGTAAACCATTCCTTTATACTGTAAAATTCCAAAATTAATGTCTCCCATTTATATTTGTTTTTATACTGAAACGCCGAAATGATCACAGATTTAAATTGGTTGATTGTGAAATTCATGTAATAAAGCTTGAGGTTAACTTAACAAACTTTACGGTTTGTGGGGCGGAATTTTCAGTACTCTACCGTCTTTAGTGTTTGTAATTGAATTGTCTGCCCATGCCTGTCTATCTTTTTACATTGAAAACGTTCTCTGTCTTGTGTTAGTCTTCCAACTTCTGTTATTGGTTTGTTGAAAGCGTTACATACGTCCCTTTCCTATGGCCTTCTTATTCTTTCTCCTTCTTATTTTCCCATCCATCTTTCCTTCCAGGATGCTCTTCCCCACCCCTCCCCCTTATCAAATGTGCAGGATACTTGTCTACGGGCACATTGCCTGGTCTTTCAAGAGACTGGTTGCAAACTATTAAAAAGACAAATACGATCGATGTTTTTTTTTTTCGTCGCTTCAAAGTTAAATTAAAGGAAAATTGCACGTCGGCTCGGTTAGTTTCACGGGACCCGCGAAATATTCACGGAATGTGTAACAGGCCTGAACTGGCTGCACTGAATCCGGCAGCTCCACCTCTCGTTCTTTTACTTTTCATAACTAGGTGACGAAGGACCTCCGCCAAAGAAAAGAAAAATAGCATAGCGTAAAGCAGAAAGGATGACTGAAGGTTAGTTAGCGTCATAACTTGCATTGAAATCCAAGAGACTATTACGAGTGAAGCACAAAACTATAATTCTTCGTTTAAATGAATTTCTTTGCCTTAACAGTAACCAGACATCAAACAACTCCTATAAACTCATAAACATGTTTCCGTATCATAATTAAGGTTAAAACACCTTACATATTACAGAAGCCGTACCCTTTTATTATCCCCAGTAAATAGTTGTATAGTGAAAGAGTAAAACAAAAATTAAGAATTAATTTTGCCTGCTTTTGGTGCAGTTTACAATTATTAATTTTGTGAGGAGCTATGAATGACCTCACTGTTAATTCCAAGGTGAGACAGATCGACAAACCACAATCGGGATCCGGGATTTCCCTTATTTGAAGCTAGGGGGAATTCAGGATTTTAAAGCAAAATCGGGCAAGATTCGGGATTGAAAGTATGCACGCGAGTTAGAATACCCGAAATAACCTTCGTGATTACGGGATTGAAAAACCGTATTGGATAGCCTCCTACAACACCTGGGACTAAGTCCCCTACTTTTTACGAACAGTGTGTGGGTATTTAAACGTCCCACAGAATTTATGGGATGTGCAAGGGCTGTGAGGCTTAGGCTACGAATTATCGTCGTTATCCGAGATGACTCTAAAAGTCTAACCGTTTGGAGATTTCATTGCAAAAGCAGCACTTTCCCCTCAGTTATTTTAAGACCAGAGTGTTGGACGGACCAGGGTTTGAATCCTTGGCCTCTTGCTCAGCAGACCGGCGCTTATCCAACGGCGGTGTGGTCTAGAATTAGTGCCTTTCACTGTAACATCATGTTTAGTTTTAGTATTCTTTGTAACGGATGATACGCTGCGACTGTAGGAGAAGCCAATTGTCACGCGGCTAAAACTATTTGTGGCGGCGAAACTCCGTGTGAGCGGGTATATTTTACTGGTCGATCATGAATCAACTATGATCACGAAACTAGGAGCTAGTCCTTGATGGTGATTTTATTGACGATAATCGAACCGTAAACTGAAATATAATGCAACGTAACAAATAATTACTAAAAAGCTAAAGTACAATTACAATTATAGTTTGGCCAAGAGATAACATAACATTTTACTGACATTCCAATCATATTTTCATTTTCGTAGCTGTTCCGGTATAAAAACCTTGCCAAAAACGTAATAAGACAAAAGAAATATACTTATTGAAAAACAGGAATAATAAATTTACCAACTAGAATATTAGACTAAATATACTTCATGAAAGGAATAAAATCAACTAAATTTGGGTACGCAGGAGTAAAGAAACCTTCCCAAAAACAATAATGGTCGCTTCCTGCGAATAATACGATACTAAGAAACTAACAAAATAAATCTGAGAACGGACTACTTTTGCAAAGGCACGAAAACTAAATAAACTAAAAGAAATGAGATTCCCACGCCGAACTAAAAAGTAAAAACCTACTTGAAACTCAAAAAGGCGTAGTCACGTAATGGTACGAGATACTGAGTATTACAACAACTTCTTGCAGGAATATACTTTATGAGTCGCCAGATACACAAAACTACAGAGGATAAAATGTACTTACATATCGGTTCCCGCTTGCCTCTAAGTACCAAGAAATGAACTATCCAAATAGACTTCAACGATGTACACATGAAGACGACGAAATCCAACTAACGCTAAAGTTAACAGACCATGCGTTTTCTACGTAAAAATAGGCGTTGTCTAAGGAAATGAAACTAGCGAATCAGAAAAGCTTAAGACGAGAGATATCATATCACTAAATCAATAAAGCTTGTTGTGATGTCATTTACATTCTTATTTTTACCCTTTTCTCTCTACAGCCGGTTTGGTTTAAACCCTTTACGCCCTAAGAGTGATCAGCATCAAATTTCTTCTTGTAATATCAATGCGTTGTAAAATAGAGTGGTCATGAGAATTACGGACATGATCACACAAGATTATGCTTGATATTTTATCAAATTCTCCCCACTTCTTCTGTAGGAAATGAATAGGGGAAACAAATGAGAATTCAAATTTGGATCTTTGGGTTTAAAGGGTTAACAGCAGATGCTGCTCCTACCCTTAAGTGGATACGCCCTCTTCATGCTTATTAACAGCATTCACGGCTCCTCCCCTGATCTCCACACCCATCATCACAGAGCCCCGTCGACCATCTCTAATCCTGGGGGATCCTAGGGAGTGATCCTTAGCTCGTGTAAGACACAGTGAAGGCAGTGAAAAGGACATTATTTTAACCATTGATTAATCAGGAACAAGTTGAGCGAGATTATGTAATGGGGTTCTGGGTTCAGATCAATCCGATAATTATATAGGCTGGTGCTAAATATATTACTTTAGCTAGTTATCTCCCAAACATGGACCGTACCATTTTAATTCAGATTAATATAAACCTGTATAAAAGTTCGAACTGAAGTTTCTGCGCGATAAAACGTTCGTTTTTTGTTTACTTCACAGGAGATGAGGACACTGATAAAGATCCTGGACCGGTCCGTGTCGCTATGTTTGTCCGCTAATGAGGTATTAAAGCTGGGTTCATGAAATCTTTCTTGGATATTGTTACTAAACAGAGTTAGGAGTAAGGCTTCATAACTCAGTCGCCTAATTTAATTTGTTACAAAATTGTTGATAGCAGAGTTATCCAGCTTCGCTGCTTTATATGAGTGTAAAGTACACATTTTACGCTTACACTAGTAATGTATAAGGAGAGATGGCTGACACTGAGTTACTAAGGGCTCCAGAGAGATCAGTTTCACCGGCATGTTTCACTACAGCTGATCACTTTGCGTCAGGTTAAAAGTGTCCTGCTCTTTTTATCTTCACATTCCTTAAACGGCGTACCCTGGTAGGGCTGTGCCGCACAAGCGTTTTAGTTGTGAAATTTGTCGTTTAAAAGTGGAAGTTACGCTAGGGACCTTAAGATCTTAGGGCGGCGACGGCGGGGAAAACGTCGCTGAGAAAATGAATTCGCGTTCTTTCAATCGTCATCGCGATTACTCCAAGTCGCTAACTTTGTTAAATGTTGGTGAACCCTCCTAAATTTGCGTTCCTAAGAACCATATCCAGGTTCAGAAAGAGAGAGGAAATTTTGTCTTCGCTTGTGTACTTGCTCTGTAAATCGTGAAATTAGGCATTTTCACGTCGTAGTCGTGCAGTGACGGCAGAGAAATGTACAAAAAGCGTGAAACAAGTGCAAAATACTAGTGTCTGCACAAGAAAAGCCCGACTACTGGGCGCCCTAAATTTCATAGGTGCTGAGCTTTTGTCAGTTTTGTTTCCTCTACGAGTATTTTTAGACTACAATAGCTTTTTCAACGTAAGGGCCAGTTTTCTTTGTTGATTATTTATTCCTAATTGTACCAATATTTAAAACCCTCACATGACACATGATATTTATTAGCACCCTATGCGGACGTGTTTTCGTACGACGCTTCATCCCAGTTTGGAAGGACTGTTGCGTGACTGACATTTTTGTAAGCCACGATAGTGTACGTAGCTGAGTAAACGTGGAGATGATGATCTGGCCACTCAAAGAAGATCACACGTCTGAGGTGGTTTAGGAAAGAAATTCTCCTTTATGGTCTCCTTTTCACAACAAAGTGAATAATTTTCTTTCGGCTCGATTATTAGCCTCATATGATCTTGTTTTTCTTCTTTCACCCACGCAGACTTTGGCGGAGATGCGGAGGAACTCTCCACCCAGCACTCACGACACACCATTTCGTTTTTACGGTCCAGAAACCGCAAGACCAGTTCCAGTGCCTTTCTATCGTGCTGGTAAGGTTCCCCCAAAACAACTGTAACTAAATTCTGGAATTTGACAATCTCCCTGACTGGTTAAAACACTAGTGAGTCAACGAACAGGACTCCACTCATTAGTTAGAGGAACCTGGAAGAAATGGGGGAGGGAGCGGGGGTACAAATCCCTTTATCCAGCCTTAATTTTTGTCCAATGCCATTGTCACATTTATAGTTTGCCTTCAGAATCCCATTCCTAGTGCACCGAAAAAATAATAAGAAAAGAAAGCTAAATCCCATTTTTTCAGCCCCCAAATTGTCAGATATAAATTCTCATTTTAACCATTCAGGGCCCTCTCATTGGGGTTTCTTGTGCGATCCTAATTTCGTCCTTTTTTTCTATCTGCAGCGGGCCGTTTTCGCAGTATGTCGTACTTCTGCGGTGCATGAATTCAACCACGGCATGGCACCCTGCGGTGGATACCGCCCTTTTCATGTTAATCCACGGCATTACTCCTGCCTTTATAGCAACACCTATTATCACAGCGCCCCATCTGCCATCTTTGCCCCTGGAAGGTCCTTGGGTAGCGATCCGTATCCTGGTGGTTCTGGTATGTCTACCGTCACACATGCGCCGGAAATGCAGCCATTTTGTTCTCTCATGGAACACTGGGAAGGCCTCTGCATGGATTGCAGTTGTTTATGGTGTATCAGTCGACATCCTTCAGCATTACGCGCCTCGTATGGAACGCCTGATCCGTCACTGCGTGAAGTGCAACCGCACCATACATTTCCAGATGCTTCTTATCTTAGTGGTTGTGGCCTGTCTACAGTCACCCACCTACCAGGTATCTCCGGGCGTTCTTCATCGTTTGGAACAATAAGACCGTCACAGTATGAGCTGCAACCGCAAAGTGCAATTCCAGGCGATCCGCATCTTAGTGATCCTGCTATGTCTTCAGTCACACACCCGTCAGTAATAGGCAGGGAAAAGCGCCCTGGGGACGAGGCTGCAGTAATCCGATTTCCCTCGGATGAACCTCTGCATGGAGCGCATTCACAAAATGTAATTCCAGGCGTTCCTTATCTTAGTGGTCGTGTTGCGTTCTTAGTGACACACCGGCCAGAAATTCCCGGACGTGTTTCCGCGTATGGAACGCTGAGAGCACATCCACCAAGTTCCCAAAGTGAAAAAAGTCCATTGATGAGCGAGTACGAGCAAAATGCGGATGATGAATTTGATTAAAGGCCTTAAGCAACATTCTTAAGTTTACATTTTCTGACAGTGTTTTCTTGTATATATTTCAATGCTGTGCCGCATTACAATAGATTTGTAGTGTAGTTATCACTGTAAATAATATAACTTTTTCGCACGAGAAAAAAATTGGTCATTCTGCTTTACGATGTGGCAGTGAACAAGTTCAGTTCCTTTGGATGAATCTGACGTAATTCAATATTACCGTGTACATAAATCAATCCCCGATATTGTGTACATAATTCTTACTTTTTCATTTTCCTCTGTATTTTAATAGACTTCTGATGTATTTATTAATATTTATATTTATTATCGATGTAATATTTATTATTTGAAGACAATATTTATTAAAAGTTTTGGAGACAAAAACACTGCAGCTCTGCAAAGCGCTATTTGTATTCTTCAACCTTTTTCGCCTGAAATAACATAGTTTTTCTTGGAGCTTTGATCTTTTTTAACCCCAGTCAACATGTGTATTTAGAAACGGATCATTTTTCTGAGCAGAGGCCCTTCGTGGCCAGCCTATACCGAGGCAACGTAAGGTCATTGTTTTGTCTAGTGACCCTTTGCCGAGTTTTTGCGCGATATTGGAAGCGTCCGTGAAGGTAACCGGGTGTTAGGTTCTTTAAGCATTTGTACACCATCACTAGGTCGTTAAAAAGCAAATTTTAAATTTTCCAGGAGTACCTCGCCCCCGGACAAACTAGACTGAGGCTTCGAGTTAGACCACAGGCAGCCCAGGCTATTTGATTTCGTTGGAATGCAGATGGATTGAGAGCAAAACTATGTTTTAACCCATTGGATCAACAGTTTTATGTGCAAGAGGCTCCAGAACAACTGCACATGAGTTGAACACCGATTTTAGCGGGGCAGAAATCGCAAATGTGATTGGAAAGATAAACTAGACACGTTTCAAGTATTGTTTTAAACATTTTTCTCTCTTTGTACCCAAGCCTAAGGCGTTTTATTTTAGATACATTTTTATTCAATGATTTTGTGATGACTGTTATCTTATGCTTGTATACTGTAATCTTTTCCCGGGGGGGTACTCCCATATATGGGCTATATAGGTACATGCAACGATATAGGGTATGGTTTTTGAGGTTCTCGGTCCTTGAATAGGGTATCTTTTTTTACCCTTTTGTTTCTGTGTCCCTGGTGTGGTCCTAAGGTAGGGTAGCTTAATTGTATTATCTAATACTGGAGTGTGAAAACGCCCGCCTAAACGAACGGGTTTTTTTAAACTTGATGTATCCGTTTATTTTATGCTTGATGCTATACATCCAATGTTACAGAGAAGAAATAAAGTTTTCCTTTTCATGCTATTAATAATTTTGTTTTTTCCTTGAATAGGGTGTCATTTTTCGGCTTTGGGCCTTAAAAAGGGTATCAGTTTTCGCTTTCTTAGTCCTTAAATAGGCACACCCCTATCCAAAATTCGCGGAGTACCCCCCCGGAATCTTTTATTGGAAGTTTTTGTTTTATTTGAAATTCATAAGAATATGATGTATGTGAATATAGAAAATACGTCATAAATTTTGCTTTTTAAAAAGATTCCAAATAGAAATGACTCACCTTGTGTGTTGTGTTTAGTTGTGACTCTTACTGTCATTTCGCTTCTACAGCCACTTCGACGCCATTTTGACAAGTTCTAGATTTTGATTTGTACTGTCAATAAGCCAACAAACGCAGGGTAGGCATTTTAGGGCTTTTTTTTATCCTAAACAGGATAAGGGTTTCAAGCCCTCAAAGGCTCAAAATACCAATACTGGTCGAGTACCCTTCCCGGGTGAAAACCATACCCTTGACAGTGGCACAAACCCGTTTAAGTTTCGGCCGAAAAAGGATGTGTCCCCCCGGAATATCTTTCGACAATGATCTGTTGTTCTTTCGACGCCAACAGTGCCTTTCTCAGACGTTGACGCCACTCAACCGAAAATTCCTGCATATCTTCTGAGACAAACATCGTATTTCCCAGCCGCTCCCGAAAACAGGTTTGTTTGTAGCATATTTATAAAACTCTTCATAACATATAACGTTACAGCGCTCTGTTAATTTTAATGTCAATAATTTTATATCTATATAAAAACCCTAAACTGGTGCATGTCGTCGCGGCGTGAAGCCTTCATTAGAATCCCAGCGCTATTACAAAGGAAGATGTTAATTGAAACGAAAAATCGCTCATTAAAATGCTTAAAACGGCATTATTCGACTGTGCGATCAATGGAAAAAATTGCAGTGTTGACGGAGGACGGGGCATTTGCCCTCCTCTTTCGTCCCCACCCCGAGGGATTTGACGGCTCAGGAGTTCCCACTCCCGGGAATTTGCTATCCAAGGCAAAAATAATGCTGATGCACGGGGGTCAGCCCGGGGGCGGGGGGGGGGGGGACGGGGCGCAGCTGGAATTGACTGATGCATAACACTGATTCAGACTTTTTACGGCTGTTTATGTGCACTGTTAAGACTTGAAAAAGATGAAATATTTCGCTCATAAATAGACTTGTATCAATGGACACTTCAAGAGCTGTGCACGTGAAAGCATGAACGGTATGTACTTAAAATGTTAACATTACAGACGGTGATGCCGCTTCAGACCGCTTGAGCTTAGCGCCTACAATGAAGGAAGTGGAATGAATCCAGCATTACTGAATAGACATAGGTAACATAGAACTACTGTGATTCTTAACTCTCTAAAATCGCGTGATTTCGGGATAACGATAAGAGTTCACAGGGTGAGGACAAAACATGGACCAGGGGTCCATGGACCCCATCTTTGGACCGGGTCCATGGACCACTTTCATGGACCGGGTCCATGGACCCCCTGTCATGGACCAGGTCCATGGACAGTTTTTTATTTTTATAGGAAGGTTTTGCACCAGGTCCATGGACACTCAAAAACAGAAATAGTGCCAAAAAAAGATTTGTCGAGACACTGTTGACCAATGCTCACGATTGATCACAAATATTTAGTTGTGCTTACATGACGTACACTCTGCTTGCACATGTGCAGTCACAAGACTGTTAAATTATGCTAATTCAAAGGTTATCACCAAGAGAGGAATTACGCCCTCCAGTACAAAGACTCGCATCACCTTTAGTTAACCCAAGTTAAGAATTCATTGCTTTTAGAGCAATCATGACTGAGTCACATCGCAATTCTCAATAGTTGAAGTAGCTTCAGTTTAAGCCACAATCCATGCCACTTCTTCTTCTTCGAGGTCTGGATCTGTAAATCACTATCCGTGAGAATTTATAATCGTCCTGCTAAAAGCGCTAAGGAGCTGGGCCCAGCGTGACAAAACATTGCAGGAAAAAGTGACATTCATGGACAAAAAGAAAGTGGCTTAGAATTATTCAGATTCAGGATGCACTTTGGAGAAATTAAACAACCTAAAACCCTTTTATCAGCCGCAATGAACAGCTTTACATTTTAAAAGAGGTAGAAAATCAATATGTGTGTCACGACCTCTCAGTATGAAATAAGCAGCAAAAATTCCCATTTGCTCAGTCAAAAGGTTTTCCTCCGAAGTATAATCTACCCATCAGAGAAAACAATTCACTGGAACAAGCAGCATTTTGGCATGAGGTACTGGCCCCCCATTTTTTTTACACTATGTAAGCACAATTAAACATTACTGATCAATCAAGCATTGTTTGTTGTTGTTGTTGTTTTTCAACCTTATGATTGCACTATTTCTGTTTTTGTTCATTTCTCATTATTAAAAAAAAAAATTGTCCATGGACCCGGTCCATGAAAGTGGTCCATGGACCCGGTCCAAAGAGAGGGTCCATGGACCCCTGGTCCATGTTTTGTCCTCACCCGAGTTCACAAGATTCGCGTGAATTATGATATTGGACTCCACCAGAAACTAACCCCATATTAGTTTCTGATTCCACCCGATCAATATAAAAGGAATACTTCTCTTGGACTTCCTCCAACCCATGGTAAAGTTAGTTGGTTCAGATCGCCTAATCCATTTAGTTCCATTAGGTAGGAAGACTTTCCGAAGCTTGACCGCACACGTGAAAGACTCACTAGATGAAATATTTCGCCAGTGACTACAACAATTGATATTTAATAAGGGTATGAACGCAAGCAGATGACAGCGAGTCACCAACTTTTAAGGATCAGCCAAATCTCAACGCAATCCAAGGCCTCGATAGTTCTCTCGTTCACATCAGTACTTTTTCTTTCACTTTCAGTGTCTTCACGAATTTACAGTTAACTTCAAGACGGAAAGGAATTTGCCAAAAGACTCAGATACCTTCTCATCAGTGAGCTAGTGAAGGTATGGGATGTCGCCGTCGTGTCTTGACCTTTATAATCGATTTCTGGTTCCTTATAAACAAACAGCACTAACTCTATGTCTTTCAATAGATGTAAACTGGTTTTAAAATGAAATACGGCAAAAAAAGAATGTAACCAAACGAACTGACGTAATTCGCGTGATCATCGTTGTATTCCATTGTCGTATTAAGAGTCTCCTTAATCTATACCAATCAGCTTAAACCCCTTGTACATATAAATGTAAAATGTCTTTTAGTCATAATCAATGACTGCTTCTTTCATGGGAAAGAATCGCGTTACTTGGCCCCACGCAAAATCACCTGTGAGCTTCGTGTTCTCTTCCGTGTTTATCCAAGAGTTAACCAAATCACTTCTTAAGGTTTGTTTAAGATTTTCATCTACTTATATTTTAATATATTAGTTAAGGGCAGCTTTTGTTCGGAGTTGTACTTTGCTCCCTTTTTTTCTAGCTGCGTATCCTTGCGATCTCTAAGGCACCTAGCCTGTGTACATTTTTTCGGAGGGAGGGGGACGTCTGTACTCAGGCTATAGGGCACCACAGTGCGTATAAAAGTTCTATTTCTTGACTGAGAACCTAACAAATCTCTAGAATTTCAAACTGTGGATTTCTTCACAGTTTAC